TGGCAGTTGAAAAAATCAAGCATTTGGGGTCTTACGGGGTTGACAAACATACCAGAAATTTGGGAATTAGAAAGTAGACCAGTCTTCAAGGCTATGAAATTAAGATAACACACCAGGGCAAGAGAGGTTGGAAAGTCCTCTTAGCCTTCAAAGACTATGTGGCCATTAAACCTACCAGGAAGCCAGACCAAATTAAACAAAACAATAGCTTGTCCTGCTTATTATTTGGGTAGCACCCCCGCTTAGTGTAGAAGGGCAAACACATGTGTAGAACAGTCACTAAAGCAACTTACTGTCACCTGTACTTCATTGGTGTCATAAAAATGACCATGAGACATGTTGCATGAAGAGGCCTGATGAGGGCCAGCACAGGCACAGCTAACCTCTACCCCTACATGAGAGGATGCCAGGTCCCCACCAGCCTCAGACACACAATGGAACTGTGCACTGCTTGCTTCTTATTTCAGTCAGCTTGGGATTTCTGTTGCCCACAAGCTGCTTCCTTTGTGCTCAAGCATAAGAATAAAGAGCCTTGCTCCTGTGCCGATATGCTTTTATCTGATTCTTTTGTACCCACGGAATCCATAATGACAGGTGGGATTGATTTATTCATTTTTGGTGGGGAGGAGATAATAAATATACACACTGACTTAACTTCTGCTGAAGTCCCACCAGTGGGTTGTGCTTAGGGACAAGTGCTCCTCACTCTGGTGGTGACAAGGCCTTTCCGTTAGGATTAAATGTGGACTTATCTGTAAAACCACTTTTTTTAAAAACCAAGATATAAAATAGGTGTCCAGATCCATTAAAATAKCTTTTCTAAGATCATCAATAGATGGCAAAAAATCTGGGGTTCCTAGATGCCGCAGCGCGGCTGCAGCAAAATAACCGGGGGGTGATGAGCAACTTGTGTAGATTGATACAGCAGGAGTGGGAGCCCTTTATTGTAGGACAACAGAGGTATTTATACATTCCACACAGCTTATCTTAATTAACATAAACTCGATACAGCAGTCAACCAATCAGGAATCTCCACACTTAATGGCTCGCTGGCGTTACTTCACAAACCACTCCCTCTGGCATTTTGCCAGGTGCCATCCTGACTTGTTTACAGACTCTAACACCTAGATTTTAGAGAAATATGCATTGGTAGAAATCCTCTTTATTTTTAGTCTTTTATAATAAGTCTGTTAAAATAACAGTGGTATTTTAAAATAGAGACTTGAAATTCCCTCTCCTTCATTCTGGGCAATCACTGCTCCTAGACTTTAAGCAAAACCCTAAATTAGCTTTTTGCCCATGATGCTGGCATTCAACTTATTTTTTAAAAAAAGTTAGACAATGTAAGTTGAAAGCTAATGTAATTTAAAATTATTAACTCACAGGGAAAAGGATTCTAATTTTAAAGACTCTAAAATGAGGATATTCTTGATTTTTGGATCCCCCTGATTTCTTGCCAATTTCAATAAATAAAAGAATGGAGATGACATCTTAAGGGCTGGGGAGCACACATGGCCTCTGCTAAATCTGATTATTGATTTTTTTCCTCAACTGTAATTTATTGAATATAGTTTTAAAGTTCCTCTTAGTCTTGCTACAGTCATCTTGAATAAACACAAACATTTTTGTGCTCAAATACAAACCTATCACTGTGTACCAATTATAAAACACGTCTTTTTCTTTTTTCAAAATCGTCATAATTAACTTGCAATATATTTCATTGTTAAACTAAGTTGTAAAAGAATTATTTAAAACAACTCCGAAATTAATTTTTATTTATAGGAGCCAATACATGATAAAATTAAGGAATAATACATTTGTTATTACAATATAGTACAAGTCACTGTAAAGTAAGTCACTTTTTTTCTTGTCAAGCACAGATATTAAATGTAATCACAAAACATTTCAACATTCAAAACTAGCAACTTTCTTACAGGAATAAGGGAAATTATCATAGAATACGTTAAAGTCAGAAATCTCATGATATAAAAACAATTACACTTGTGTGTGGAAATGCTATTTTTATATTAATAATAATTCTGATACCATCATTTTCTCTTAATTCTTCTGAATTTGTTAATTTGACCCCAGAACACAAAAATTTTTAGTTCATTCTTTGATACTTTGTCTTTATTTTTTTATTTACAACATAAATCAATATAAAATGATACATTTGTGTACGTATATTACATAATTTTTTTTTTAAAAAAAGGACTGGCAAATTTTGTCTCTGGTAGAACACTGGCTTAGCATGTGTGAGGACCTGGGTTAGATCCTGAACACCACAAATAAACAAAATRAAACACCAACCTAAAAACAATGGCATTTGATTTTTAGCTCTAATAACATATGTTTTTGATGCCGGCATACTACAGATCGTATGCATATTGTTATTTATCATAATTTATTGTATCTAAAATTATGTTAGAATAAAATTCTTTAAATACCTGTGTGTATAAAGGAACCACACAATTTGTGATTTAACCCACCTAGATTGTCCTGGAAAATAGCTTTTGACTGCAGAGTCTTTAAATTTTTGACTCAAATTGTCTAAGGTCAAATTCTAGTCAAGGATCATTTTGTAATATTTACTGTGCTTTGTTACTCATGATTCCAGATGTTGCACTGAGTGTCAGTGAGAGGGTCACAGGGAGTGGGGCAAGGAAACAGCTGCTGCTTCTGCATATTTGGAATGGCATCCTAGAGGCCCTGCCCGGGTTTGTTCTTAATAAGGCTACTGTCTCCAGTAGGAGCATCCACAAGGCCCCTGTTAACAGGAGAAGTAACAGGAACCTGAAGGATTAGGCTCAATTTCTTCCTAGATGACACCTAATTATGCTTTTGGTAGAGTCAACCTTGAAGGCCATAATTGAAAGCTCCTGGTGCCCAAATAAATTACAAAATTATATATCTTAGGGTATGAAAACCAAAAATTTAACCAAATCAGATTATTTTGTGCAATAACAGTTGAAAGTTGTGGTTTCTTAATCATCAGAGGTCTCCCAGTTTAGGAACTCAAATAAGTTTGGGATGGTACTGCGCTTTGTTAAGAAATTTGATTTTTTTCCTCTATAACTACACCCTTTGTTCAATCATGGTATAACGCTCCTTTGATGGTGTTAGAAACTCTGTAGGTCAAGTATAATTAACCCAAGAATTTTACTAATTTCCTTTGCAGTTATGTCCTAAATGAACTTTCAAAATAAAAACCAAGGAGTTTACATTTTAAAAGACATGCTCCCAAGTCAACCTATTAAGTACTGAATGTAAACTTTAAAATGTTTCTTTTTCATCAATTARTGTATATCAAATGTGTAATAGACCCTATCAATCACATTCCTGATGCCTCTATAAATAAGTTAATAATGTATACTTGCAGGGACTTCCCACAGATTACTGTACAAAATAAAATAAAGTGACACATGCATTTATTCTTGACTATAAGCCTCCATTTGGTATAATATTTCAGGTCTTTGGTGGAGAAGAGGAAAACTTCCCTTCCCAGAACACTTTCAGCTCATTGCCTAATTTCCTTTCTTCTGAAACAGACAGGCAGGATAATTATTCTAATCTGGATAATTGTTTTGAATTATATGAATGCCATTTCTGGGTATATAACATTAAGAAGGTATAGCACTAAACAGCTGCTTTTCTGCCTAAACCACAGAGATGATGACCATATATTTGCATACTGAAGAATAAGCAAGCAGGTCTTCTTGTGTCTCTCCAGACCATTTCCCACTGTCTAATCTCCTGATGCATTTAAAAAGAGAAAACACAGGTGAGAAGATTGATATGCACCTTATTTGAGAGATACTTCCAGAAATAAGGTCAAATGGAATTGTTTTACTTGGCGGTACATATCAACATTTTGAAACAGACCCTACTACAAGAGCCAAAAGGTTGTTTTTTTACAAATGGATTTAGAAAAAGTGGCATCATCTTTGTTCCACTCTAAAAGGCTTTAGTTTTTGAACTATCAAAGAAAAAAATTTACTGTGACTATCCACCGTACAAGGGAGAGTTACAACTATACTGCTCTAATCCGAATAATAAAGCAGTGATTAATTTAGCCTAGGGCTTATGATATAGGCCTTTTAAGAGAAATATTTGTTACTTTCATTCAAGGTGATTTCTTTTTTGTTTTACTTGTTAATTAATTAATATTTTGGTGCTGGGGATTGAGTCGGGCATTGTGCATGCTGTATAAGTGCTGCATCAATGAGCTACCTCCCCAGAACCCTTTGYTATTTTTTAAAAAAAGAACTCTAAAGGGATAATCTCGACAGTATATTTTTATGCATCGTTCGGATAAATTTTTTAAGCACATCAATGAAGGGAGTCTAAGGGCTAAGAATTTAGAAAGATAGGAGAATGAAAAGGAGTGAAGTAGTTCAYGCCAGGTTACAGCAGTGCCATCCAGTCCATGGTCTCTTATCTGTAAAGTTAAAAAAAGAAATCCAGTAATACTATTAAAAGTAACTATTACGTCTTCCAAGAGATGCAAAATATTTATTAATGAATGTAACCTCAAATCAGTGCACCATCTCTAAGAAGGAGTCAGACAAAAGAGCTAGAAAAAAAAAACAGTAATGAAAAATGCAATACCAATGGCCAAGGAGTGTTGTAATTTATCTCTATTTAGAGTTGAATCAAACTGATKTTCTTGGCTGGCTTTGCTTTACCTGCATTCAAAGGAAAGCAAGTTCTATCCTTGCATGGGAAAACTTTAGCCATGCAGAAGTCTGGCTTAGTGGCTGCTGGCAATGCCTTCCAATGAATCAGCAGATCTATATTTAAATTTTAGGATTTTATATCCCAGATGTAAAGCCAACTAATTTTGGTTAATAAAAAATAAGTAGGAATAAAGAACTATGAAATTCTGAATATCTCGAGAATATTAAAAAAAAAACACCTGTAGTATAAGTATAGCATTTTACAGGGTGTGAAGCTATTTCACACATTTGATTTCATTTAATTCTCAAAGCAACCCTGTGAGGTGTTATCAATGCCATTGTACAGCCAAGGAGACAGAGGCTTGATGTGTTTTTAAATAACATACATTTAATAATAAAGGAATACAGATGAGGAGTAGAGCAGTTAGTTCTCTTTCCATCTGTATCCCAACTTTTACCCCCACCCCTAACCTCTTCTCTCTTCAGAAACTGTTAGGTGCATGGGAGACTGGAAGGAAAGAACAGACCTTTGTAATTAAACATAGTGGGAGGCACTTTATATCCTGAGTAGCTCTCTAGCAGACTCATATTTATGGATCCAGACTCRCCAAACATGAAGATAACATCAGGTTAATAATCAGTGAAGCACAGGACACTTTATAACACTGTCAAACAACGTTCTAGATAAAGTCTACAGCCTACTTTAGGCAATCTTTTCTACTCTGCTATGAAATTTGGCATTCCTCATACATATTCTGACTTGAAAACAATCTTACAGCAGGAGGAAAAAGATACTTTCAGCTTGTCCACAATTTTTTCTCTGTCAACATCCTAGTAATTAATGATTTTCAGAGCCATTAAAAGGTGAGGAAAATAAAGGAAGGCACTGCCAGTTATCAAGTTATCATTTTGAAACTCAAGAGTGATTTATAGCTCCTAACAGAACTTTCTCCTTTTCACTCAGAACTGGCTACCTCCTGCTCAATAAGCCCTGGCCCCAAAACCTCCCCAAGACCTCATCTCCAGGACCCCATTTGGGGCTGTATTTTATGATGTATAAATTGATTTTTTTAATGGAATCATGATTCTCTGAAGTCTCCTCTAAATGATGAGCCCACTTTGTTCAGAAATGCTATGACTTTTAAACCAATCAAGTCTTACTTATGTCAGAAATTAAAAGAAACCCATAATAAAAATACAAAGTCAGGTTGGTTACGATTTGACCTTTAAAAACATAACTTCTGTTATTTCTGGAAATCAGGCCCACAGATTTTAGTATGGTGTGTTTTCACTAACTTTCTGTATAAAATAATTCATGGTTTTGAGTCATAACAATGTGTAAAACACAACTAGAAACAAAAGTCTTGTACCCGACCAGTTGATTTTTGCTTATCTCACATAAGCCTGTTTGTCCTCATGATTTCTAGATGGATTCAGTAATGGACCAAAAAGTCAATTACAAGAACCAGGCAGTATGAACTTGGGGCTCAGGTTGAAACAGGAATAAATTTGATGGACTTGGAAGATTTAGGTGAGTCCTTCCATGTACCGGTACTATTTGTTGGGCTTCGGTTGTTGGAATAAGAAGTCTGTCTTCTGCTCATACTGTCGGTATCTTTGTTGAATTTTTGCTTCATGTGGTGGCAGCATGGAAAGCTTTGGACACAGTCTTGCAGGAGGTGGCCACTAAAAAACATGTATATCCAGGGATTGCAGCAACTATTCAAGGAAGCCAGTAATGCCGTGATGGTGGTGGAAGGGTTTTCTGAATCTGTATGAAAAATATAAAACGAGATTATTTCAATAGTCAAAGCAAGAAATTAAGCATCAGACAAACTCCTTTTTCTATTGATTAAAGAGGAAAGAAATGTTAGGGGTTAGTATAGAAAGTGACATTTTATTTATCAGTCAGGGAACTGGGTAGTATTTAGAAATGGCTTGATTATGAAATATTTTTATAAGTAAAATGCCTCAAAACTAATGCAAAAAATTTAAAACCACTACTAAAATATTAAATAGGATGAATGGGAATTTCAAGATGACAAAGCTATGAAATAATTCATTAAAATATTTTTGTACTTTATACTAGCATGAGTATGTACTAATAGACACAGCATTCACACAATAGCAACAATTTGAATAAATTTCAAGTCAACAATAATGTATATCAAATTGTATTCTTCCTAATAATTCAAGTAACATTATGACATTATAAGACCATGTTTAGTAGTTTAAAGTTTTACTTATTGAATATATTCTTGTAATGTGAAAACAATATATGAGAGAATAGTTTAAATAGATCCTTGAAGAATGCAAGCTTTAGTTATTTTTTAATGGATAATTAGAATTTTCATTTGATTTTTAAAAAGAAAATCATCTTTTTGGCTCAATTAAATTGTATTAAGAAGGTTGAATTAAAAAATTTCAATAGGCTTCTGAAGCACTTTATATTAATTAGCAGTGGTAAATTACATGAACATCATGAGCTTTCACAGTGATACTATTGTACTGATAATATACTTTTTTCTAAAAATAAGAATAATTAGTAAGCACAGACTTTCCCTTGATTGGCATATACAAACTTGGGTCTTCCTGCTGTTCTATTGCCAGAATAAGTTACAGATTAGTTGATAACTTTCTGCTAGATGTTGCTATTGGAGATGATCATGAACCATGGCTGACTGTATTTAAAAAGAGTAAAAATCACCAACAAATCCATGCATGAGTGAAAAATTATTTTAGTAATTGTGTATAAATCTCAATAAAGCAATAATTACACATCAGGTTAAATTTGGCAATATTAGAGGCTTCTGAGACTAAGCAAAACAGGAAATGGTAAATAAAAGTTAAGTGTGTTGTATTTTTCATTATTGGTGGTTAGAAATATTTATTTAAATTAAATTTACACTCAAATGTTTTATTTGCGTATAAGACTCACAAAATATATCATATATACTTCCTACCTCAATCCTTAAAAAAACAGATGGTTCCCACCCAATGCCTATATCCTGACTTCAGTTGTTATAAGAAATATTTCTGTAATATGTTTGGTTTCAAAAAGTTTTTTTTCCTTTTTAAAACAAAACATTTTTCAATATGCCAAATTAAATAATGTTCCTTTTGGGAAATCCTGATGAAACCAATCTCTCTAGTTTGTGAAGGAATTAAAATCAAACATGCCAGTAGGTGTAGGGAACACTGTCAGAAAATCATTGCAACTCTGTGGAATAAATAGCTGTGTGGTCAAATTAGTGCTGAAAGACTAAAGAATATGTCTAACAAATTAAGTTATTAATAATCCTACTTGGAAATACCAGGAAATAGAAAGTAATTAAGTTAGAAAAAGTTTTAAAGATTATGTCAAGGAAAAGAACATGAACTAATTGCCAACTTAGAATTCTTGACTTCTTAAGAATATTTTACCAGCTTTCTCCAAAAAAAAAAAAAAAAAGTTTATCTTTGCCCTTAGGGAATTTCTATAAAAGTTTTATATTAATTGTGATACTTTTCATGATCTAACGAAAAACAGTTGTGGTCCTAAAAATGCTTTCCTGAATCCAATAGCCTGGAAAGCAGGATGTGTACACAGCCTTTAGTGAGTTAGCAAAAGGTCATTGTTCTGTTTTGAAGTTAGTGGGTGATTAGGACACAGTTCCTGGATTTATGGTCTTAATATCATCATTGTACGCTACAAATGCTGWTTTCTTGGCCTCATTGTAGAGATATYGAATTATAGTGTCTGGAGTGGAGACCCTAAGAATTGGCATTTTTTTYCTTGTGTTTAATTTTATATTTATCTGAAGGACTGGGTTTTTATATGCTCCAACAGTAGGTACTCAGGTCCATGTCTCACTTTTTTTTTTTTTTTTTTTTTTTTTTTTAGTTTCACATAATTTTCACGTGTCATTAGAAAGTCATTCTTCCTCTAAAATGTTTTTTTTAGATTTTGTATTTTTGGCAATTTCCCCCAAGATGTAATTTTTGTGCATGCGGAAGTTTAAGGACTGTTTAGAGGACAGGATGGAAAGAAATACTTTCCCTCTCTCCCCTCCCCTCCCCYTCTCTCTTTCCCTCTCTCTGTCTCTATCTCACACACACAGACACACACACCACTGGCCTCCACTGTGTCAGCACCTACCGGTCCAGATGAAGTTTTCATCCCAGACCGACCACATCTGGATGATGAAGAAAGGAGCCCAGCAGAGGATGTAAGCCGTCACAATCACAAAAGTCATCTTTACGGTGCGAATCTTGGCGCGGGAAATGGTCTTCACACTGCTGACACAGGGCGCTACCAGAATCCCCTTATGGAGGGCGTCCTCCGCGCCGCTTGCACCCTTGCTCTGGCGCGACGCGGTCTTTCCGCGGATGTTGCGCCAGATGTGGTAGCAGATGAAGCCGTAGCAGGTACCTAAGATGACCACGGGTGCCACGAAGATGCCGCTTGTCATCCAGGTCACATAGGCTCGRGTGCCCCAGGGTTGGATGAAAGTGGCCCAGCAGTCTTGAGCTTTGGTAACATTGTTCACCTCGATCATGGAGAAGATGAAGTACTGTGGGGTGCTCAGCACGAAGCTCAGTACCCAAGAGGCGGCGATCATGAAGCGCGAGCGGCGCGCCGGCTGCTGCAGAGTCTTGAGCGGGTGGCACACGGCAATGTAGCGGTCTGCGGTCATTACTACCAGCATGTAAGCCGACGCGAACATGGCGAACACYTGCAGGTGCTTCACCACGCGACACAGCCAGTCGGGTCCGCGGAAACGGTAGGTTATGTCCCAGCACAGCTGCGGCAACACCTGGAAGAAGGCGACAGCGAGGTCCGCCAGGCTGAGGTGTCGGATGAAGAGGTGCATGCGGGACGTCTTGCGCGGTGTGCGGTGTAGYGCCAGAAGCACGCTGCTGTTGCCTAGCACGGCCACCACGAAAGTCACCGCCAGCACCGCGATCTCCAGCTTGGCCAGTTCCTCATTGCGCCGGTCTCCCGGGGGACTTCCGCCACCTTCCCCAAGCGCATCTGCTTCCTGGCTGGTGTTGGCACTATCGGCAGCCAGAGGCCACCACGAACTGGAGTTGCYCAGCGGTCCCGCGTCGGCGCCTCTGGAGAAACGCATGCTGTCTATACAGCGCTTTTGAGACCCGGGGCAGCGCCCGGAGCTCCTTTCTCACCTCGGGGGACTTGGGTTCTTTTTTTCCCAAGGGCGCTGTCCTTTCCAAGCTGCGGGCTCTCGGGGCCCTTCAAACCTCCCGCACGCTAGCACTTGTCCACTGAGTAGCTCTGGGTCCGGTGCTGCAGCCCCTCTCCYTGCTCTGCCTTTTCCCAACTCCCGTAAAGCTGTAAAGGTGCGCTCCGAGCTTCTGAAAGCGCTGAGCCCAGAACTCAATGATTAATGCAGAGGTTGATTCCCGGGGACGCGCTTCCTCTCGCCCTAGTGGCTGGAGACTGTTCTTGCCTCACTCCAACTTCCCTCCTTTCGTTGGTGATTTGTCCTCTTTGCATCATTGCTGCAGGGGTGGGGCTGGGAGACCCGAGGATCCTTCGATKTAATAGGCGGAATCGAGGCGATCTCTCTCGTTCAAAAACTTGGAGAACTGGACGGGATCTTGCCTTTTCGAGGCTCGTCACCGTTTCCTCAAGTTTCTTTCACCGGCCACCTTAAACCCACATTTGATTTCCGCAGGCGAGTAAGCGCTGTACCTGGAAATCTCAGGTCTATGCAACCACGCGCTGGCTCAAGCACCTACCTGAACTTGGCGCTAAACCCCACGTCCTCTAGTCGGAGTTTTTCTCGGCTCACTGATCTTATCCCTCGGCAGCTAGTCTGGCTAATTTTATTCCCGAGGCAGTTTTGCTCCCGCCTCCCCACTCCACTCTGTCTGGTAACCACCTTGTGACTTAAAGGATGCATTCTTCTCAATGGGACTTGGTGCCCGCTGTTACTGTCTTGGTTTGCCAGAGGGAAGGACACAGTCATTAGTAGTGAAGGGAAAGGAGCATCTTCTGATTTTCCAGATTCTGTGTAGGGCATGGGGCCTAGGGAGTTTTCTCTAAACTAGATTCCCGAGAGTTTCTCTGGGAAAGCAGGATTCCCACTGAGGGGGATGGCKGAAATTGGGCTGCAGTAGTCCATGGAGACTTCATTTGTTTAATACTGGATCCWTCAGACTTCTCTGGTCTCTTCTGAAGGCTAAAAGAACAGCTGCCAATCAACATCCACCCTGGCAGTGCTGTCCAGGGCAGAGGAGAGAAAAACCTCCAGGCTTCCGTTCTYGGGGTGAGAAAGAGGAATCTTAAAGCAGAAAACATGCTCTGGGGAAAAAGACAGAAAACACCACCTACTGCTATTAGTTACTCTGGACAACTATGGCTGTGCTCCAGGGGTAGGAGAGAGAGGACAGAGAGGGAGAAATACACACACCTTCAGCTGTTTTAGCTTTGGYGAAGGTATGTTAGGAAAGACAGCAAGGGGGAGCTGTTTCCGGCTATTTTCAGAAGAAGGAAAAAGAAAAGAAACACTTTTATGGGGTTATTTACTATGTAGATTCATGAACATGATAGTCGTAGAACCTTTGTGTGTTGTGGCCATAGTATACATGTGATTGTCTCAGAAAAATATCACCATTTGTGAAATGCAGGCAGATAAATGAAAATATTTTTATTCTCAGTYATAATTCTACTTTGCTATCTGCTTCTTGCAGGCAGAGTCCCTAGGGTTGTCACATAAATAGTGCTGGACTCGATATGGGAAGTCCTGTTTCATTGTGGTTATTAAGTCTGGGACCATGCATCTTAAAAATGGTAATAAAATTATCTGCCATTCTTACTTATGAGGCTACATAGAGAATCTAAGGAGTCAGTATTCTGTGTGGGAATATGCTCTGAAGACAAAAATTTGTGTTGCATGGGTTTATTTTCTCCAAGATATCCAGGAAGCAAAAAAAAAAAAAAATTAAAGAGGTTTAGGAATGCTTATAAGTAAAAGATTTCCAGAGCACTTGTTTGGAAATTATTTTTCAAGCAATCAGGTTATRGTCATTGACTCAGAGATATGACTTTCTTTTAAGTCACAAATTACTTTATTAGTTCTCCTTATGAAAAATAATGTGGACTGACTCTAGGTCCCTGGGTGTTGCAAAAGAGGTTCATTATCCAGAGCTTCTCAATTTTATAGGTCTTGGGCCTATGCATGTGAATTTTAGGTTACATGGGTGAGGGGAATCTGCATTCCTGAGTCACCAAAGTTTCTTTAGGTGTTCTTAGTCCAGACAGATGGTGTGTGGCCTCTCAGAAAATCATGTATCTGTATCAGACAGTCTTACCCAATAACTAAACTATATCCAAATACCCGGTTTATGACAATAACTAGGTTGCATCAGTGGATACAATTGGAAGATATTATTATTCAGAGATAACAGTATCAATTACTCGTATATGTGTATATGGATGTGTATTCTTATGTATGTATGTATCTATGCATGTATCATTCTGTTGGGTGTCATCAGGTCTAAAAATCAGGAAAAAAAAAGTGTTGCAAGTTCCAGAACCAGATCTTCTTTCAATTCATATAGTTAAAAATATTATCTTTATTTTACTGGTTCTATATTCAAATGAAAGTAAGACTATCAAAATACAGATCTGCTATTCATGTGCTTTTTTTTTTTAGCCTACTTGGCATTTACTCTGTATTTTTTGTCTTWTTAAGACTTTTTTCCTCTTACTTTCCATGGATGTCAGTTAATATATTTTGAGGATTAGATGAYGAAATTATGCATACATATCCTGGAGTAATCATCTCTTTCATTTGCTGGTCTTTCTTTCTCCATTTTACAATTCTAGATATTTAAGAAGTATTTCAACTAATAGAAACAGCTACCTTTACTTACTAGCTGTGTGACTGTTTAAATCTTTGAGCTTCSGTTTTCTCATGTGTAAAATCTTAGTGATAAGATATAATGCAGTTACTGAAAGGATWATATAAAAGTTTAAGGTTTTGGCATTCCATGAATGTTGAAAATATTAATTTCTTTTTAAAAAATATTATCTATATGAATATATATTAACTGCTATTTTGCCATTGAAGTTTTTCCTTCTAGTTAAAGCAGCATATCTCCAACTCTCTTAAGTGTAATAGAAAATATCAGTAGATTTTCAATGAAAAGAGTCCCATGTTCAAATACAGGGAAGAAGGGCTGTGTATATGCATCRCATTCCTGTTCTGGAAACTTGTTCATGAAAAGGATTTGAAAAAACTTCAGAAAAGAAGACTACTGAATATTGTTTATCAATGTATCCCAAAGTTAATTGTGGAAAACCTCCATCTTTTATTTTTCCCCAYGGAACAGGGATGAACATATCATAGGACAAGGGACACTGTTTGAGTAACACCAAGTAAAGAGACTTGGTGTCTGAAATAATTGAGGGTCACCTCTGGACTTAGTCAAGTCAGGAAATTGGAAGTTTGGGTCACATTTAACCTGCTCTCCCAGAGGCAGGGAAGCCCAATGTCAATAAGTTACTATTTGCCTATCATATTACTTTCTGGACTTTTCATAGATCTATTCAATATATCATATTTCCTCCTCTCCTTAAACTCTTAGTTTTCTTTTCTTTCTTAGAAAAAAGAAGAAACTAGGCATTCTGCATTATCTGCATATCCATTTTACATTTAGAGCCCACAATGACCCCCTTCCCTTTAATTTATATTAATGCCACTATTGTTACAAGCCTGTACTATGGTATTGATATTATTGCTTCTAGTAAATGAATGAATATTTGTTGTACCTCTCTGTCCTGGGTCTTGAGCTGCCTACATAGAAGGATATAATAGTGGCTATTGTTTAATAAGCACAATGTTTCAGGCACAGTCACATGCCTTACAAATATTATTTCACTTAATCCTCCCAATGATGCTGTGAAGGATATAGTGTTATTATTTCAGAGGCAGAGAGAGTGTAACTAGCCAGCCTCAGGTGAAACAGCTGGCCAGTGGTAGAAGCGGAATTTGAACAAAAGCAGCTGTCTCCAGCAGCATTTGTAATGTCAACCAGTGCACTGTACTGCTGTCTGTAAGCCTCATGCTCCTAGATCTCAGACTTGTATAGACCACATGATTGGCCATTTTCTGTTCCATCTATATATAATACCTTCTTCATTAAGACTAGGGGATCTTCTGGGATTTGCATTGCTTCTTTCATATCTTTGGTTTGCTCTTTGCCAAGCCAATTAAGGGGCAATAATAGTTGAAGTAGTAATGAGAATAACAGATAATACAAACATTGATTAAATTTCATGAGCTAAGTACCTTGAATTCATTATTTCAATGAATCTTTAATACTTAAAATTGTGTGTAGGGATGCAGGGTATAGTTATATTTAATCTCATTTTACAGAATAAAACAATTTTGCAGAGGTTAAATTGCAAGCCTCCAGTGACTAAGGGGGTCTCACATGTAGGTCCATTTGAAATGAACTTRGTTATAACTGCTATGTCCCAGTGCCTTCCATGCACATCATAAACACACCCAACACACCTTTGCAGAATTCATTAATAAGTATTGTAATGGAAACCTCCTTCTGAGTGTTGAATGAATGTAAGATTCATAAAGTGCTTAGTGACTGGATAAATTAACAAAGAATTTTTGAAGAGCTGTCTTTGAGCACCTAAATTCCATCATATATTTCTGAACGAAAGTATCACCATTTATATTTGGAAAGGATTTAAATAATTCTGGTTATCTTTCTGCATTGAAAATCCTGAACTAGTAAGTTTATTTGATTTAAAAAAGTATCCACTGAATGAGCTTTTTTTTTTTTTTTTTTTTTTTTTTAAAGGAAAACACACACATACACACCCACACACTGAATTCCAAACATGTGCTGCAAGTCAAGCGGGGGAAAACATCAGATCTTCATTATAGTACTATTCACTCCAGAGGGTAAAATTAAAAAGGAAAACTGTGTTCAGTCCTATTTATGGAGCTTTATTTTCTTATGTGATCAAGCTGGCTTGCATATTGAAGTGCAGAGCTATGACATTAAAGAGAGGCTACCATATTCAACAAAATTTAAATATTGATGTTGATGAAAAGTTACAATTTCTTCACTTGTATAAAACAAACAAAAAAATCATTCATAAGTTACAATTACAGTATTAGTAGAAAAATCACTCCAAAGGAAAAGACTTCCAAAATTAGTGTTCTTGTATCATATGTTTAGAAAATCCACTTGCATATAAAATTATGATTGACTTATTTCAAGTTTTTAAAATTCTGAATGCTTGATTTTATGACTTTTGCCCCTAATAAGTWAATATTCATTTGGATTTTCTTCATTCTTATAAAATGTGATTGCTATTCTGTCTAGAATTTGATAATCATCAAAACTCATTGTTTTAGCCCACTGGTGAATTGGACTCT